GTGTGGTGCAAAGTGTGTGTTAACACCACGCAGCCTCCACCAGTAGGGAAAGGTGGGCTATTCACAAAGGCTCTTCAGAGCAGGAACGAAACTTGTATGCTCTGATTCATCCTACGGAAGAGGTTATCAAGCCTAGAGATGGTCACGGCCCTCTGAGCTGCAGAAGTTTGTTGTCTGATGTGAAAGGTGGGAAGATACTTGCCTGGGCAGGGAAAAAGGCATGGGCAGACTGCCAGGTGGCTTGAGGTTGAAAGTGGTACCTGGGCAATTTTAAGTCTGGGAATTAGGAAAAGAAGTTACAGGACTTCATGATGTTAGTGTCATTTTTCTGACGGGATCATTGGATAAACCTAGCAGGTCCTGATGACGAGTCAATTTTCTACTGTCAGTGCCAGCACAGAGTGACAGTAGAGACCACAAGGCGGAGAGGGAAATGCTGAGACAGCCTAATGGAGCATGCGGCTTAGCCTAAACAACTTGTGTATTTTGTTTTGTTCTTCTGATTCTTGAAAAGAATTAGAAAAGGAAGGCAGATTTCACCAGAAGTGAAACAAAACCACAAGGCTCTTTGTAGATTAAGCGTTTTCAAGAACTAGCAAGAATAAATGTTTTCCTGTTTTCACTCTGTTTTCTGTACCTTAAGCTATGTGAGATATTTGCTGAGATTCCCAAGTTTTCTTATTTGGACTCCATTATTTTAGAGAACTTGTTTTGCAGAACTGTGCATCCCAGGGAAGGAAATTAAGGTCAGAGATGACAAAAAACCAACCTAAGGGCCTGAAATACTTTTAGTTTCTCAAAGACCACCCCATGTGGGAATGATAGATTTAAAAATGGGTGGAACCTCTAAGCCTGGAGTTGTATCAAGTTATTCATGAAAAACCTCTGAGATCTTTGTGTAGACTAAGATATTTGGGTGGTACTTTCTCACTCTTTCTTCAGAAAAAGCATGGTGGCCTCACAAACTGTGAACTAGCCCTGCTTTTGCTCTGGCTTTAAAAATAGCTATGTGTCTTGAAAAGCTGTCTCAGCAGTAGTGAAGGAGTGGAAAAGTGTATTATATCCCCATGGTTTCATACAGTGCAGCTGTGCTAACAGAGTGCATTGAGACTGAGACCAAAGGAAAGGCATGAAATAGTCCATTAAATGATCAGCTGAATCTAACAGTAAAGCTTCACACAATGGGGAGATCTGTTGACCAGGTATCCTATTGCAAATGGCAGAGTTTTGTCTTTTTGTTGGGGGGGGAGGCATCCAGAATATTAACAAATTCAGGCCCTTTGTATTAATAAAATTTTTACTGAAATCAATGGGAAAGTCATCTTCTGATAGGAAGTCTACCTTGCCTTGACTTAAAATAGTTAAATATTCTTACAATAAATTTGGATTAAATATCCATATTCTGTGGGATCCAAAGTTTTGATTTTACTTCTGGTTGAATGTCTGTCAGATGATAGTCAGATTAGAAACCAACCAGGTCTCTAGATTTATGAATACTTTAAAAAAAAAATGATTTTTTTTAAATAAGCAAGCATGCATCAACACACAACCTTCAACTGTCCCTCCTAGGTCTTGGGATAATTACTAATAGTACAGGAATAATGGAACAAGTATTGACCAAATGTAATATACAGTTGCCACTGTGGAGCTATTCCCTATGCGCCGGCTCTAAAGTACAAGTGGTTAGTTTATAACCCTCTTTAGGTTACAACATTTTAACGTTTCTTCAGTGTTTATTTATTCTCTTCCCAAAGAATGTTCTGAAATATCGAGTTTACAACCTGTGGCTCATGTGATGGTAGTGGAAACAATTAAGCTCGAAGCTTTCAAAGCCACCACTGGGATTTTGATGCCCAAACTCATTAATTTTAATAAGAAGTGAGCTGCCAGTCGTCTTAAGTGGTTTCTAAAATCTCAACCCATAAAAACACCTCTCTACCGGTTCCAGTTTACTAGGAGCTCAGAGCAAGGTAAACACATGTAACAAAATAGTAGGTGTTAGAAGGTGGAAAGTATGTGTTCAGATGTCTCTAAGACCATTCAAGGAACAAATGGTGGCCCCAACCTTGAGCTGGCAGATGTGGGCTGATGTGGGGGCTGCTCCTACCTTCAGCATCTCAGGGAACTACTGACTGATCAGAACATGAGGCACAGTTTTCAGTGGCAAGGAGAAGAGTCAGTGAAAACAGAAATCTTGGCGACAGCTCAGTTCCAGCTGTGATGATCACATTGCTTGTTGACTTTCAGCTCTCTCATGTCTGCTCCATGTTCTTGCCTTCTTCACACGTCTCTTCCCATCACAGCTATGTGGCCAGGGTAGTCTTCTTCTCCCCAGCATGGACAGCTTGGCCCATCTGCCAGCAAGATGTGGGTGAATTCACACCACATAGTGAAGAGCAGACTTATCTAGAGCAGTACCAAAACAAGCTGCATCATCTTGGACAGTATCAACCAGCTTGTGTTCCCATTGCTTTGGCGTAAGTGGAGCAGTTGCCAGAGCTGCATTGCCACCCGTTGCTGCCTGCTGCCATTGCAGTTACCCACACGGTGTAGATGCTTGGTCCACCTCCTTCCTACCTGCCTAACCCATCCTATCCAAGTTTTCACTGCGTTATTTTGCAAGCTGCTAAATGGCTGCATTTGCATGTTGATGCTTCGCTGATCCATCATGGATCAAAATTAAGAAGTCTGCTGTGGCCCAAGGACCCACCCAGTACAAACCTATGAGAGCCTTTCCTTTTACATGAGTCTGAAGATGGCTTTGCAGTTGATGCACTGATGAAAACTCATCCTCAACATGAATCATGGAAGTCTTAATGGGGAAAAAAATCAAGAACCAGTAGATCTCTCTGTGATGTAGAATAGAGCATGGAGTGAGTATGAATGGGTTTGAAAAGAACTCACCGAGAGTTTGGACGCTTGGAAAGAGAGGAAAAATAGGCGATTTTCTTGTGTATTTTATTTATGAAAGCAGCCTTGGAGAATTTTAAAATTAGTTTAAACAAGTGTCTCTCTTTTTTGTATCTGTCATACGATCTCTGAAGAACTTCATTACTGTTGGCTACAAATGACAAAGTTACTGGAGTTTTTGCCAGTGAGTCTCATGGTAGCAACGATTAATTCTCAGTAGCTATTGGAAGGGCCTTTGGGTGAAACATGATGCAGTGGAAATAGAGATGACCATCTTGACTGCTATTGTAATGGACTTCAAAAAAGGAAAAAAAAAGCTACCATTAGTAGTAGATGTGACTTTTTTGGAAGAGAACAAAATGTTCCATAAATGAAACATGTGGTTTCACTTGCAGCACATTTTGTACATTGTCACCAATGAAGTTTAGGATTTTTTATTACTTTTTCATTAAAATGTCTTACTGGTTTCACTCAGGAGGCAAAACTTCTCACGTGGCTTTAATTGTTTCTGTCATAAAAGTCATAGCATCCGTGTAATAGAAATAGTTTTGCAGACCACAGCTTCATATTAACTATTAATTTTCTTCCATTTTCTTTACCTACAACTCATTGGGCCATCCCAGAGACAGAAAAATGTCCTCTCTTGAAATTAAGACCAAACAGGAACTTCTACTGAAGTTAGGGGAAAAAACATCACTTTGTGCCACTACTGTTTTATTAGATTTTTGTTTCAGATATCTTAGCTCACAAATGCAAGTTGACATGGCCACATATCAAAGGGGAGATTTTGTATGGACTTGTGTCTAATATTAGCGAAACTCTAGAAGATGAAAACAATAAAAGGCCTTTTTCTGCCTAGTTCCAGTCAGATGTGAGAGGTGGTAGTATTTCAAATAGGAGTGAAGAGCTCTGGCAGTATTGTTTCAAGGTGGCTTTGGACAGTTTATATACCCTTTTTTTTTGCTTCATGTCTCTGTTATACAAAACCTCCTGGAGTTCAGGTCTCGTACATCCCATCCCATCAGCCTCGCTATTAGACCGTGCTTCTGTCATTAGTCTGGGCTTCCCTATCACCACTCCTAACTTGGATGAACAAACATAATTATTATTGCAGTCAAAGCAAAGGCTTGTTTTCCACAGCTGATATCCTAAATTGAAAAAAAAAAAAAAAAAAAAAAAAAAAAGGGAAAAAGGATGCAGGCTACCAAGTTGTGCTCTTCACTAACTGAGGCTGCAGCAACACAACTGCATGCTTTCGTGCAGGCTGCTTTCACAACACTCAGCATAGGCAGACTCATGTTTCACGATCATTTGTAACATGCCTGTTAATTTTTGACCACTATCTAACCTTTCCAGAGTTTTTACAAGCAATCATAGAAACACAAAATTTTTTAGGTTGGAAGGGACCTTTAAGATCATCTAGTCCAACCATCAACCTAACTCTGATAAAACAGAAAACAAAAAGCAAATAACAAACAAACAAAACACCCAAAAAACCCAACCAGCCCACAACCCATCACTAAACCATGTCACTAAGAACTATGTCAGCCCATCTTTTGAGTACGTCCAGGGATGGTGCCTAAACCACTTCTCTGGGCAGTCTATTCCAATGCCGTTCCAAAAAAAAAAAAAAAAAGAAAAGATATATATATTTATATACAAAAAAAAAAAAAAAAAAAAAAAAAAAAAAAAGAAGGGAACTAGTGTTATCTCATTGAGATCAGCTGCTGTTAAGGTATCTGTTTTCCTCAGAGAGAGCCACAGTTTTGCCATTTAACCTTCAGCCCAGTGGGGAAGGTGATGTTGACTCCTACTGCAGCCTCTAAAGCCTGTATGAAGTCATAAAAATGCCAGAAAACAGCAATAAGGTATCAAACTGCCTTTTCCTTCTCTTTCAGTTTAGTGTTTATTTGAAAGCTTGCTGGGAAATGCCACTGATGTCCTTAGTTGCTGCCCCAGAGCAAAAGCCTTTCTCCTTGTACAACTTAGCAGTGAGGAGCACTCTCCAAGTAGTGCAGTCCTCTGCTTTCACTTTTTCTTAGCTCGACCCCTTGCTTATTCATCAAATATTTAAATGTTGTGTTTTACAGTTCGAGGACAACAAAGACAAGCCCAGCCTTAGAAGGGTCCTCAGCGACAGCCCTGCCTGCCGTTCAGCTTTCTGAACAGGTCCCACTGACTTCTCCTTCCCTGAAGCCCCTGCAGATGGATGAAGACGACAGCCTGTCTCCTCACCTCCTGTTGCCAGACAGCATCAGCCAGCTGGAAGAGTTTGGCCGGAAGAAGAAATGGCACAAGAAGCAGCACAAACACCATCGCCAGAGGCAGTTCAACGACCTCTGGGTTCGGATAGAAGACAGGTGAGTCACATCTTTTATGGTCCCTGTCCTCATCCTGCCTTCCATCTCCTAACTAGCTGCTCGTTACAGAACCCAGCTCTTGTTGATTAGACCATAAGGAGGGTTGGAGAAAGGCTACATGAAAGAGACAGGAAGCGAGGTGCAGTTTTTAGAGCATAATGAAGAACTAGGAGGAAGGCTTGTTGGCATGTTTGATCTAAAAGTAAAGAGAAATAAAGCTAATGCTTGGAATATTTAAAATATACAGAAACAAAGACTTGTCAGAGTAAAAACAGGGAAAAAATTATGATGGAAAATATTCTGAATTTTCCCTCTATCTTCCAATAATTATTTTCAAATCTTTACTGCTAGTTCTCAGCCCAGTGACTCACCCGTTTTCCAACTGTGCAGAATATTCTTGGGAGTTCTTAAGATTCTGACATATCTGACTTCCAGTCTGGGATTGAAAGGTTTTAACATCTCAGAGTGCACTGAAAACAGCAAACTGAGACAAAAATGAAGTACTTTAAGGCCTCTATGTGAAGAGAATGGAGGTAGGCATGTTTCTGTGGCAATGCCAGTCTTGGTCCAAGGTTAAAATGTCCCGTTCAGTGTTTGAATAAGAGCCTTCATGTTTGACCAGGGCTTCTCGATGTGTGCTTTTAGCATTCCTGGGTAATTACTCTCCCACCTCTAAAATTGGGAAAGCTCTTAGTGCCTTTATCCAAGCCAAATCATGGGCATATAAACAGCCACGATGTTTATAGATCTGATAACAAGTCAAAGGAATGAAATAATCTGTTGGAAACCCGCCGTTTACCACTACGTGTAGTGATTGTCTTTGAGCATTACTCTTATTCCCATTTTCATAACACTTAAGTGCCTTGCAAGTAAAATGAGTCTCTTAGAGTCGCCTCCATTTGCCAAGGAAAAAAACTGTGCATATTTGTGTTCTGGGATATTATTTTTCTTTTATTCATTCTGTTTAATGGATCAGTGTCATCTTTTTTCTTGTAGTTCATTATATTCTTGGGGTGAGTGATGTAAAGGTTGTTATTAAGGTGGTGGATATTGATCTATATGTAATAAGGCTGTTTCTGGGGTTAACGCCAGCCTCTGTATGAAGGATCAGATCTGGGTTCACCTGTTTCGTTCTTAAAGTGTGTTCAGTGGTTGGATCATCTCCACAGGCAATGTTTAAGCATGAGCTAAAAGACATTTGGTCCTACATACTTGAATACCTTGAGGACAAGGGAATCAAAAGCTTTTATCCCTCTACTTCCATTTTATAAGGAAAGAGATTGGGATAAGGAAACACAAGTTTCTTATCCCACCACACTGGTGATGAACCAGACACTGTGTGTCGCCTGCTTTGCTGAAAGATCCCAGGGAGATATTAGTGGGAGATCACAGACCTAGAAATGAGGAAAGGCTGTAAGAAGGGAAGTCTGTCTTAGTGCTTTCAGATGGTTTTAGTGCTTCTGCAGTTCTGGAGTAACTTCTGGTGTTTTCCTGGGAACCAAACAAAACAAAAAGTACAAACTGCTCAGCTAAATCAGAGATTCACAACCAGCTCTGGTTTCCCCATGAATTGGATGGGGTCTCAACTTTCATAAACCAGCTGCTGGATGTTGTGCTTTTGGCAGTTGGGTTTCATCAGCATTAATTGCAAGCTGGACCTTGCACAAGGCAATAAACAGTGGGTTCTCTCTAACTGGTTCCTTTCTGATTGGCAAGAAAAGAGCAGAAATGTGTGCCTGTCACCAGACTTTGTGGTGTGATCATTCTTGGGAAGAAACAGCGAGGGTGGTTAATAATATGGGCAATGGAGTCTTACCTGTGCAGGAGAGAAGCATGTCAGTTTATATTGTGTTGCCTCAATAATGTTCAGCAGCATTCAACAGTGAGACTGTCAGCATTCATTTCTGGAGGATAATTAGTGTACTCGAAGTTCATGCTCTGCTCTGTCCCATAGATCCATTGTGCATTTGCATATACTTAAATTGCAGGCTCCCCATGTTCTATATGGACTGAGGTCTCTGTATATAGTATTACCTCGAGCTCTGTTTCTAAATGGTTCTTCTTCCAGTTTGTGTTTCCTAACTCACCTGTTGTCACCTGAAACTTGTTCACCTTTAAGGCAAAGTAGAGAGATTTAGGTCATTGTTATGTCTTTTGGGTGAAAGCTGCATAAAACTCATTGTTTCCATGTGAGGTCTGCAGAATTCAGCTGTTTGAGTTGCCTTTCAACCTGAAAAGTCAAAGAGAAACATACAGGTGCAGGACAAATCCAGGCAAATTTAAACCAGATTATTGATTCGTGGATGAACCTCATTGAACTGTGAAATGACTGTGTGTCAGAGCTGTGACTACAGCTCTTTTCCAAAGCTTTATTGACCGTGGATTAGAGGACTTTATGAGCCATGAATTGCAGGGCTTTTATGCACTGTGCATTTCTAGGCTATCTCGTAGACTTCCATGGAAATCTTGGGGTGTTTTTTTAAGCTACCAACACAGAAACAAAGGAAATGAACAGAGAAGAGCAATCTTAAAGGAACATCAAAGGTCTGACTCCAACCTATAAAAGCCAGGAAATCCATAATTAATGGTTCCACTAAGACTTCAGCTCACACAGTCATTCGGGTCTGATTTGAGGTTATAGCTACAATCTGAACGGGCCTTGTGAAAAATGAGTCATCATTTAATGTCACACATCATTATTAGTATTTACTTTCAGTTATACCTTGGAGATCGTCTTTTCCTTTTTGTTCTGTCTTAACAGCTGAGGCATTTGAGTCGGCACCCCTGAGTGGATGGTGTTTAGATTTGTGTGTTGGAGGGTTAGTAGCCCTGTGGAGGATGAGAAAGCTTCTGCTCTGTCTTTGACAGAGCTAAGATTTGCTGATCTCCTGGGTAATCAGCTACACTGAAGGCTATTAAAAAATAAAAAATGCTGATGAAATGTGTGGTTTCCTCTCCCTTCTGCCTCCTTCCCCCCAAATCTAAACAAAATGAAAACGTCCTGCCTGGCTGCAGTTTGTGTTTGAAAACGTTTGTCAAGAATCAAAATTAAGTGGAGATTTCAAGTAGCGGGATTTTTTTCTTTAACTACTTGATTTTGCAGAAATGTGCAGATCTGAGGTCTGTCTTCGGGAGGAATTTGAACTTCGACAAAACTTAAACCCTAGCTAGCTCCCCATAGCCAAGAGCCAGCTGGGGCAGCAGGGAGGGGAGGCAAAACCCTTGGGCTGGAAGCCTGCAGTTTGGCATACAGAGCGTGTTATTGTTCCTGTTAACACTGTGTTAGCTAAGCTTTCCCTTGTAATATATATAATTAATTACAGAACATTCACTGGCTTTTCAGGATGAGCTGCTCAGTTAATTGAAAGAGTAGAGGAATGTCTGTGATGTTTCAGAGCGGTCGGTGAAGCCCAGATCAGGATCACACCTTTGTTTGAGTGGGCAAACGGTTTAAGGCTACAAACAAAACCAGCCCGAGAGAACAGAGAACCTCTGCCAGCTTGGGGGGGAACAGGTTAGGGCCCTAAGGCAGGGTGGGAGGTAGTGTCCTGGGAAAAAGAGAGGGATGGAGAGGAGTTAGTAGTTGGCAGAGTGTTTTGGGAGGTGTGAGATTTGGAAGGAGCGAGTGGCAGCTGGGAGATGTGAAAGAGAGAAATACAGTGATGGAAGAAGGAATTCGGATTTAATGAGCAAATTCAGAGGTTCATTCCCACTGCTGAGGAGGAAATCTGAATGAAGATGGTGTTTGGGAAGTCACTGAGGACACACTGCTGCTTCACTTGCACAGGAAAAAAGTTAAAGGAAAATAATTTTTTATCAGAAGAGAAAAAAAGAAATTCTTGTCCCAGATGTAAGCTCGCCCCTGCAAAACCTGCCATTGGTGGGAAATGAAATGAATTTGCCCTGTAATTGGAAACGGCATTTCTCTGATAGCCCAGTGCTGACTATTCAACCGCAGATGAATGCAATAACATCACAAATATCAATTTCTTTTGGAAGCAACAGTTATTTTAGGCCAAAAAAAAAAAAAAAAAGTTATACCAATGATGGATGGAGGGAGACAATGTGTAATAAACTGCACTAAGTGTGGCTGTATAGAGTGAACCTTATCAGTTTGGATGGAATTTAAGCACTTAGACTGTTATCCTTTCTTTCAAGACAATGCAGTGATGGAAAACAGAACTCTGTCAACTCAGACAAACTTTTAATTTCACTTAACTGCATCTGAAAGGTAAATTTCAGTAAATGAATCCAAATTGCTTCCTTTTCACAACACACGGTGCTGAAATACAGTACTTAACTTCATTAAAGAAAAGGCTGCTTTTCTTTAGAGGAGACCTAGACACTTTTGAAGTCTAACAGGTAAATTGTGGTCAGATGATTTCCCTCCATATGGTAGCTTTGAGCTTGAGATTTCCATCACTGGGGCCTTGTTTGTTTAAATTACTCTATCCGCCTCCCTGGTAAGGATACTGCTCGGAGAGTGGATGCCTACTGATGCTGATGGGGAGGGGGATCACTCCCTGCTCTGGCCTGTCTCTGTGCAGCAGGGAAAGCAGTTGCCACCATTGCATTTATTTGCCCTGTGTTTAACAAAGGATGAGGATGCACCTTCAGGACCTTTCTAACTCACTATAGTGAACGTCTCCCAGTGGGACCACTCCAGCAGCCAGGAACAGTGGGAGCGAAGGTGTGTTGGAGTCCCATCTTCCCTCCCTTGTCACACCTCATTCCTGTTTGGAGCTTAGCTGTGTTGTGTGGCCCCTTGGCTTTCCTCCAGCACTTCTGTCTACCATTTCCTTTGCTGTTGTCCTGGCAGGATTTCCTTCTCAGGAAATTTTCATGATCACAGTTCCTATCAGGGACTGCCCCCAGTGTGTAGTCTCCATGGCATACGTGGAGAAGTATTTCATTCATCAGAAACATGTATTCATCAGAAAAATCTCATGGTTTGACAGCTTGAGTACAAGACCCTTCTGTCTCCCTGAGTGATCTCAAAA